TTTTAGAGTTTTCTATTCTTGCATGTATCGATAAACCAAGAAAACATAATTCTCGAACCAGTTTGATGAAAATCGGATAAGAATTCGGATTGTAGCTGTGCCAAAATAAAATACACTTAAAACTGCTTACGTGTAGGAATGCGAAAGCATTCCTACAAGCAGCGCACCACGTCGTCCTATCGCAAACGGCTCTCCGGCGGTGACGTCACGCTCCCCCACTGCGCAGGCGCGACGAACCCTGCCGGCTTCACGACGGCTTCCGTTACGAAGCATTGCGTTGCTGTGCTTTTCTTTTCTTTTTTTTTTTCTTTTTTTTTTGAGGCGAGTACACTTTGATTTTGAGCGGCTTCGCCGGTTTCGTGACGAACCATCTCAGATGACGCGTCGCATCCAATGGGACTTCAGGTGCCGTTTCGCTCAGCCAAAGGGAAAATTGGATCTTATTTTCTCGTTTTTAGCGGGAAGTTACAGACGCCGCCGGTTTCGCTCCATTTTTTTTTTTAATGCTTTCGCATGAAAAAAAGAAAAGGAAGCTTAACATTTTTTTGAGGAAAGCTTTATTTTTGTGCCGGGCCAGCATTGAACTGCCCGCAAGTCTGTTCTCTTCCGGTCAGTTCAGTAACGTTCGGCAACGACACGTTACTGTTACGCTCCATTCTCACTGACTTCGTGGGTTCGTTTTTAGGGGCACGAGGCTTCTTAGAATCTAGCCTTGTCCGGCGTCCGTGCTGACATCGATTGCCATTCCACCTGTCTTCTAAAAAAAAAAATGTTTGCGCAGTCGACATGATTCGAACCTGTTCAGGGAGACCCCAATGGATTTCTAGTCTATCGCCTTAACCACTTGGCCACGACTGCGGAACGAGGGGCTCTGAGATGTGGTTGTAACTTAAGAGCTGGGGATGTCATGGATGAAACGTTGTATGCAGCCGCTTGATGTCTATTCAGGAGAGGGCACTCCGGTCAAATGCGTATATAATCGCGTTAAACTTTGCGTGCATTAGCTCAACGTTTATAAAGGAGAGGGCGCTGCGGTCAGATGCTGAAATGCGTATTAAACCACGTTCCATACCGCACATTTTCTTTCTGACATGGACCGTTGACTTAAGCGCTCGAGATGCGTTATATGGATACTTTTGGGTTGTTTTCCATTTTTGCTTGTCAGCGGCAGAAAACATGCCCAAAACCAATTTCGGCAGGTAAGAATTTCTAAAATTCGAATTATCTTGGAAATATTGCCGATATTATCCGACCAAAACATTTTAAAGACACAGTTCTGGAAGCAGCACACGAAGAACAAATTGATAGGCCATTTAAACTAGGTCCCCGTTAGGTGAGTCTTGATAAAGACTAGAAATGTCGCAGAGAAGGGTTTTACCCTGCACCTAGTTCTGGTGGTACAGTCAGATACAACATAAGAAAGACACTGCGAGAGGGAAAGGGCGCTCTTGAGAAAAGCCGTTGTGGAAAGGAGGTCGCGGCTGTCCACTTTAGCTTTCCAAGTCTCCGCCCTTTTCTCCCTCGCACTCTCTTTCTTATGTTGTATCTTACTATAGTAAATGGATGATCCATCCGCCGATAACCACAGGTTTTTTCTTCTTTAGATTACTTTTATCGCCCCTCTTTTGACACTATTCTGTTGTGTTCAGGACTCCAACAGTTAGATTGCGGTGAGTCTCATGGGATTTTTTTTATGTTTCTTATTTGGCCTGAGTACCAATGGTGTGTTATCGCTGCCCATATCCAATGCAGCGTTTGAACATGTCAGTAGAAGACATATGGGGAGTCGAAAGAGCACTGCCACTTTTGAAAACGAAGGGCAAATCCGTAGCGCATTTTAACCCAGCGATAATGAATACACAAGCAATATTTTAGTTTCAAAAGGTAGCGCATCATGTAAGGGATGAAAGTGCGATAAGCATATTGCCCTATGCGAGAGAAATTCCGACTGGAAAGCTGATAAATTGTTGTTTTGGTTTTGGGATATTTTCGCTAATTCTTCTTTGTTGATTTGGTTACATTTTCGCTATTTTTGCAGCCATGTGACGGTTTCATAGCTCTACTATTTAGCAACTTTGTGTGCAGATGAAAACCTGTGAAGCATTGACCATTCTTTCGTAGCCCATAATTGACATGCCAACTGTTGTGAACACTTTTAATACAGTGGTTTTCTGGAACCAAATTACAGAAATATACCAGAAATGGTCACATAGCCAAAGACCAAATTTTCACGCCAAATATAAAAAGCAACCTAATTTATCTATAAAGAGACCAATCTGGAAACACTGCTGCGCAGGCGCAATCACGTGACCACCGCAGCAGCATAGGATGGTGGTGACGACCACCACCCTGTGCTGCTGCGTGTCCGCGCCGCGAGCGCGCCGGTAACGGGAAGCGTCCCAGGTCAGAGCGCGCGCGAACGGCCAACCAAATACGGCCGACGGGGAAGAACGACAAGCATGCCTTCGCATTCACAACTCAGAAGTGCTTAGGTGTACCTCAAGCCTTTTTTTTTCTGTTTTCGTGCTTTTGGTTTTTGCGTTTTGAGTTCCGTACCCGTAGGGGCATGCCAACCCCTGCGGGTTCTTACACTGTTAGCAAAAATAACACGCCCAGACGTGTAAACCGTTGTCCTATAGCAGACACGTCGAAACGTGTTCGTTTTACACGAGGCCATCTGTGTTTTTCGTCTACACATGAGGTGCTGTGTAAACTTAACACGCTACACCGTGTCTCCCTTCCGCAAAACCGTTTCGAGCGTGTTCCTTATGAAACATGGCGGCCAGCGGCCGAGAACAGGCGAGAGACGAGCCCAGCGAGCCGCGCGCCTTTCAGCCGAATTGAAAGCACACAGGGCGCGTTAGTTCTCGTTCGATGTCTTTTATACACAGTAAAGTCTCCAAGCGGCGGACGTAGCTACTTGCAAAGGTACGTACGTGCGTTATCGGCGGTCGGCGGCGTCGGTAACTTCAACAAGCCGCTAAAAAAAAAAAAAAAAAACGAATGCTGGACTTACATGGATAAATAACTTGAGCAAACTATTTAGAATCGGGCGGTAACTTGCGCCACCTATCGAGATTTCTAGCAGCATGTTTTAAAAAAAAAAGACGAGTCTGTTAACACTGCGAACGACCACGACTACACAGCAACCCTACATACAACACAGGCAACACATCACACAGCTACACAGAACCGACATGTACATAAACACAACAACCGACACTACGCCCGACACTTCCTACTCGATATCCATTTCTCCCCGCACCGCATATAAGCTTGACATGTGCGGGTGAGCTCTTCGGTCGCTGACCATTACAGATTTATAGAAGAATACACAAAACACGGCGCAATGGACAGCCGTGTGTGAGAACTGTTTGCATTTAAAAAGTATGGAGGCAAAATCTATAATGTTAGTCCGTTGCAATAAATAACTATATGTTAACAATAAATCTCAAACCGGTCACGAAAAAGTTCAAATTTTTGTTATTTTCTTGCTTGACCAGTGTTATGAGCAGTCCGACTAGCTTGAATCAGATAGGGAAACAAATTATTGGGATTTTGTCATTAGGTATACAATAATAAATGAAAATGATCCTTGCGCAAAGCATTTTTTATATATTTTTGTGAAGGACATCCGGACATCCGCCCAACACTTCACTTCCGTTAGTTGCAGTACGGGAGCAGACGCCTTCACTTTTGGGGCGTTTTGATGCAGTTTGTTGTCGTATGTCGTGTCGGTGTCGAGAAGAGCGGTGGGGCTTGGGAGTTTGTGACCGGTGTTATTCGTGAACACTGGTGTGGGGCGCTGATGCGTCTTTTTCTTATACTGCCACCACCCCTAGCTTTGAAGATACACGGGCCCGTAGCAGTGCATTATGCTGAATCGCGAGCTCCTTCTCTGTTGACGTCGCTTTCCTGGTACCACTCGTGGATACTGCAAGCGTTTATACAGTGTGCACCGTCTCGCCTACATCCCCGGTGACGTACTCGACCTGTTGAAACTTATTGCTTCCGTCATTTTAGAGTACGCAAGGCAGTTATCTCGTTGGTCTGGTTTCGGTTATAAAAGCAAGGCAAAACGCTCGTAGTTCCCGCCCTCAGTACAGGTTGGACATCTTCCACACTTTGACACCGGATAACTGAATGAACGAGGATTTACATTCACTTCCGAGGTTACTCTCGCCGCTTCCTCACCGTTGAGCAGCAGGATGAGCTGGCGACAAGCCGCGGATGAAAGGCTTGAGCATCAACAGCCCAAGCGCACTCGGTGCCGATGCGGGCGACGCGGGTTTCTGTCAACCGGGAGGCCAGCACAAACCGTGACCGTTCCAGCTCTTCGTCATGACACGGTGTTGCAGAGAGCAGGGTAAAATACAGCTACACGGATCAGCGAAGCAAACGACTGCTATCTTAAATCTTCGCTTGTGATTGCGCCTTTGTAGTAGACAATCTTATTCGTTTTGCTGGAGAGACGCAAACGACGGGCATAACAAAATCGCTTGCATATTCCGCATATCTCACAAAAGCATTTACCCTGTCACCTTGCGAAAAGCGCGAAACACGGAGTCCGCACCATCCTAAGCTTTCCGTTTTTTACCTGCTTTAGAGCAGTTTGTACCTGCTAGTAGATATGCCTACTGAAACTGAAACAGGGCAGTGCCAGAGAGAAAGAGACAAAGTTGAGAAAGCTTGCTCGATCTCCAATTTCTCAACTCTCAAGTGATTGTACACTGTTAAAAAAAAACGTAAAATTACAGGGAGCGCCAACGGGACCAGAGCCGCTCGCGAGCCGTCGTGGCCGTTTTGCCGTAAACCCCTCCACCGCACTCGAACGAACAGACATAGCCGGCGCGCTGCGCAGGCGCAGTCAATGCAGCCCTTTTATTCGGAGAGGCGGAAGATCACGTGAACTTCTTTCCCGCGCTCCCGTGGGACGCTGTCCGCGTGAAGGCACCCCTGGCGCATGCGCAGTGAGCGTGTCGAGGCAGATCCCGCGCGATTCGGCGACTTTGTGGACGTGTTTTTGGTTCGCCGCACTCAAACCTGGAGATTTCACGGTAAGTGCATTACATCCCCTTCCGCCTTCCTTGAACTGTTTGATGAATACCTGTCGCACCACTGTTTTCTTAGATGAGTAGCGCTGTTGTCTGGATTCACTATTATGCATGGCTCGCCACAAGCGTGTGCAGACGATGTGCGCCTCGCGCTGGAGGTGCGTAGCGTTTAGGGTAACGGGGTCTTTGCCTTGTTGCTTTCGAGTGTTACTCTAGCATTATCACGAGACGTAGTGTGTCGGTGTTCTACGTTTTTCTTGCTCCCTTCTTAGTTAAATATTATTCGGCTACGTGAAAAGCTCTTGGTTTAGCGCTCCGCTGGAAAGGCAGAGGTCCCTGGTCCGGTTCGAGGACCATGCACGCCGATTTTTTCGGTAGCTGCTTGTTCGACATAACGTGCTGTTCAGGTGCAATTTGTTTCGAAACGTGCAAAGCGACACAGTGCAATGAGGTTTCAAGTGCCCACAATAATATACTATATACGTTTGACCGAAGTGTAAAAAACTAGTGCCAAAATTACTTTTTTTTTTGTTCGTTTGTGCCGAGCCGACATTTAGCTTCCGTGCACTCTCATATTGTTACGGTAGACTTGTGTGGATTTAGGAAACTTTAAATTGATCGATTCGACCTTCGTGTCTAACACTGCCAGTACTCAAATCCTTTGCAGTACGTCTTTAAGTCCGCGGTCTTTTTTTTTTTTTTAGTTCGTTGAGTTTAGTTTTCTCCATTCTTTGGTGCGCTACTGTGTAGCGACAGCGCCGGACTTTACGTAATGAGTCATGACTGAAACACATTTGCGAAAAGCGGCCAAATTGTATGAAGAAATCGCAAACGAAAATCGGACAGCAACTCCTATTGCCTTCTTTTTTTTTTTTTCTTTTCTTTTCTTTCGGCGGGGGAAACCCGGAGGGGGACGGAGCGATGTCGCAACGTTACTTCGGGAGTTCCGTCCGTTCCGTCCCTCTCCGGGTTTTCTACGCTATGGCGCAGCCGCGGCAGCCGCCGAGGCTGGTTGAGTGTTTCCGCGGTTTTTGATCAGCTTTATACGAAGACTGATTTTCGCCGATCTTTGTCGTGTTACGTGTATGTGGTGAACGGAGCATTGCGGAGACTGAGAATTATGTGGGCTGTTCGCTGTGTTGTGGCATTCGGGCAAAGCAAGATCGCGGTGAGTTTGCTCGTGTACAGTCGGCGGTAAAAGTTTGCGGGGCGCGGGAGCGTCAGCCGAAATGACTGGTTGCGCCTTCTGCGGCGCGCGGCCGCTCTCAAGATTCACGCTTCGAGAATGTGCTTCCTTTCGTGCTCGAAGCCATGACTTTTTCGCTCGCTTCCGCCCGAGGTGCACGAGATAACCGGGGACCGGCGCAAGGTGCCGCTATGACAGCCATCACGCCGCGCGTCTGCCTCAGCCACCGTGATGGGTGACGAAACTCGCGCATGCTACAGATAACATTTCGCGGCACCTTGCGCCAGTCCCAGTTGTATATCGTGCGTGTCGAACGGAAGCGAGCGAAAAAAGCATGACCGCGAACAAGAAAGGAAGCGCGTGCGCATAGCGTGAGTCTTGGAGCAGCAACGTGCCGTGAGAAGGCGCAGCCAGTCTTTTCGGCAGGCGCTCCCGTGCCCCGCAAACTTTTGCTCCCGACTGTACGTTGGCCGATGCTCGTGTCGGTGCACATCTCAATCTCAACTAAACATCGACCGCCGATTGTGGCTGACTCCGTGCATGTAAGAACGAATTAATCTAACAGGAGCTTCGTGAATAAGAACGAGGCAAGCGTGTGGCTGTAGAAGGATGTCGTGACCAATGGCATACGTACACTGGTTTCCGCACGTTGCTTCTGTTTACTTTATCTGTTGGAATAGCAGTCTTTGTACCGGTGCGTGAAGGCCTCAGTTGCTTCGAAAACGAAAGCTGATACAGCCAGTCTCTTTTTATCCGATGATTCTGTCAAGTCCTAATCACGGCGTCATATATATATATATATATATATATATATATATATATATATATATATATATATATATATATATCAAGAGTGCGCGTTTGGTGTTGTTTGCGTTAATTTTACTGCGGAGGACGTTGCCTTTTGCGCGGGATCAGTCTTCTCGTGTAACTTGTCTTCCAAATTTGCTTGCAACAATTTTTGCACCCTCCGATTTCCGTTCTATATTCGGTTTCTTTTCTTGTAAATGTGTTTCAGCCTTAACATTTTGCCGCGGCGCAGCTCTGTTCAGAGAAGAAACGGTCTCAGCACAGCAGGGTGCACGAAGCGCGTCGTGTGTTTAGAAAAAAAGAAAATGAAATTGGGCAAGAAATGATTTGGTAACTGCACCGTAATAAGTGGCTGCCAGCAGTTGAAAAAAAAAGAGATATGTTGCCTTATAGTTGGAGTTAAGTCATCTGCCTTATTGTAGTATTTGAGGTAGAAAGGAGAACAAACTAGATGCCTGGGCCGGCTTGAAAGAGACAGCGTCTCGGTTGAGACTGCTCAAAGAAAGCGCTGCCAAGGCTCGGGCGCGCGAGCGTCTAGGACTCGGTTTAAGCTCTAGCACTAGTCTTGACAGCGCTTTCTTTGAGCAGTCTCAACCGAGACTCTGCTTCAAGCAAGCCGGCCCACATATCTAGAAAACCAATTTTCTGCCTCAAAAGGTGGTAAAAAAAATGTGTCACATTACTGTGCAATTGCGGGGCGTTAGCGTGAAACATTTTCGCGATAGACTGCAACGCAAACAAAAAATGGAAAAGAGCAAGAAAAAAAAAAACAGTAAGTCAAGCGCGAAATGCTAGGGAAAGGAAGGTGGGAGTGGAGGAAGCAGATGGATAGCTGGCAAGGAGAGGAGGAACTTCCCTTGCCAGCGTTGTTTACTTACTCCTTTCCATGTTCCTTTCCCTTGCCCTTGGCAGCAGTTTAAATCAAATAGCGCTGCGTCGTCCTGGCTTTCATTGCACTGCTCAGGCTATGAATGACAAGGCGCTATACCATTCCAGCCCAGCTCTGTTCACCTGACCTCTCAAGCCAGATGCACAGAAACGAAAACCTAGCCGAGCGTTTCACATGACAATTACTGCGGCCATTCATATCACTGCCCAATGTTAGCATGCTAGACTGTAGCTCCTCATGGCTGGGGCAACCTAAAAGAACACGGAAACATAGTTTTGTATGTTAAGACTGGACGACAAGACGACACGCACGCTGCAGGTGTACACAGGCAGGTGCAGGTGTTCTATCTTTCTGGTGTAAATAGAAACATTGCCTTCAGATTAACACAGAACATCGAGGATGGCTGTTTTGTACTTCAGTTTAAACACAATGTTAGTGTTGAAACTTGATGAAAGCTCACGTTAAGTGCTTTATAATCCTTACTGTGTTCATTTCTAGATAGGTGTATGTTTATGCTGTGTGTCATTATCTTCACAAGCACAGTTGATTTAATGTTCACTGACTTCAGTTGTGGCAGGAATAAAAAAATTTGGGGTCAAGGATTAATATCTTTGGATTAGGACTTCGCCATGATTGCTTCGAATATTGGTAATGTTTCAGGTACCTTTATAAAAATGCAAAGATCATGTGTTTAAGTACAAAATCGTGGAGAGAAAATTTTTTTTTTGCAGATCTTGGGACTTAAAGTAGACCTTCAATCCGAAAAAAGAAAGCCAAATTGTTCAGCTCTCATGTCGTCTTAGGATATTGTATTTCTTAGGGTCCCAACAAACATGTTCAATATTAAATCAACTTGAAATAAACCAAGCACTCCTTTTTGGTTATAGATGAGACATCACTGCAAAAGATGCCAGAAAAAGTTTACATCATTGGACACGTTCTTCAAGCACACATTATATCATGAAACGTCATCAAGAGGTGTTCCATGCAGCGTTGTCGGCTGTGAGGCTGCATTCAAAAATTACAACTCATTGCGAAGCCACATCACAAGGTGTCATTCTCCGCTTGCACCTCGTAATGCAACTAACTTCCAATCCTGCCGGACATGCAGTGTTAGTTCCTGCAGTGAAGAGGTGAGCCCTGGAAAGGCTTTTATCGAGCACCTCAAAAAACATCTCACCGGCAACCCGCCAACTGTTGTAACTTGTCCAATTGATGCGTGTGATAGCCAGCTTAGGACATGGGGTTCACTCAAGACCCATCTTTCCATATACCATGGGAATGGAAAAAAAAATCAGTGGTGACAGAGCCAGTAGAGCAGGATGAAATAGTGACGTCATGCTGTAGCAAGGATGACAATGGTCTGGAGAACATTAGGGAAAAACCAGACGTTGAGAGTGAATTGCCTTCAGTCATTGATGATGTGGATCCCACTCACTTAGATCAAGACTCTTTCCTTGAAAGCATGGCCCTTTTTACTTTGAAGCTTGAGTCAAAATATTTGATCCCGTCCTCAATCGTCCAGGATATAGTTGCTGACGTGAAAAGACTTCATGGCATTTCACAGGAGCATCTTATGACTGATTTGAAAGCTCACCTAACCGATAAGATGTCAAGAGACCAAATGACTGAGGCAATTGACCACTCCTTTGGGAAGAGTCCTTTGTCTGTTGCATTTTCAAGTGATGGAGCTCTTCGCTCAAGCTACATGAGAAATGTTTACTACACTAACAAACTTCATCACAATAAACCAGTCGAAATCTCTCTTGGATTAGACTATTCCAACGAAATGCGACATTACAGCTATATGCCCATAAAGGTGGCACTTCATTCGCTGCTTTCTAACCCAGATGTACTGTGCAAACTCTCTTTCAACGCGCAGGGAGGCAACGATGGTGTGTATCGGGAATTCACAGACGGCAAAGTTTTTCAAAGCCGGATATCATCCGATGGCAGTACTGTATCGGTAATCTTATACCAAGATGCTTTCGAAGTCGCCAATCCCCTTGGATCAGCCCGTGGAAAGTTTAAAATGTTAGCGGTATACTTCACGCTTGGAAACCTACCAGCTTACCTCAGAACCGTAGTTGACCCTCAACAGCTTGTTTTGCTTTGCCATGATAAAGACTTTAAACACTTTGGTTGTAGGAAGCTCTTCGAGCGACTCATCAGTGACCTCCAAGATCTTGAAGATGGCATCACAGTGAACGGGCACCGTTACGTTGTGCAGCTTGCTTTTATATGCGGTGACAACCTTGGAAGCCATAGCATTGGCGGCTTTGTGGAGAATTTCAGCATGGCCTCTTACATATGCCGGTACTGTGTTGCAACCATGCAAGATTTTAGGAACAACAAGCCAGCAGAGCTTCGAACTGTTTCATCATACACTGAAGCAGTCAACCGTGCTAAGGACAGCCAAGAACAGGGTTTTATGGGAGTCAAACACGACTCTCCATTCAACAAGCTTTCAACATTTCATGTCTGTCTTCCTGGGCTCCCGCCATGTCTTGGGCATGATCTTTTTGAAGGTGTTGTTGACTACGACGTTGCACTGATGTTAAAATATTTCGTGAAAACACTGAAATGGTTCTCTTACCACCATCTTAATGCAACAATACAGTTCAAATTTAAGTACAACGCGTGTGACCAAAGGAACAAGCCAGCTCCAATGAACATAAGTGGTAAAAAGCTTGGAGGCCAGGCACTGCAAAACTACACTCTTTTGTTACTTCTACCAATAATGGTGGGAGACAAAGTTCAGGATGCAACTAACGAAATGTGGCGTCTCCTTTTGACTCTCCAACAGGTTGTAGAACTCGTCATGGCAACTGCCATTTCAGATGACCAAGTGTCATATCTGGCACTCTTGATCAGTGATTACATCTGTGAGAGGGTAAGGTTGTTTCCAGCTGTTCCACTTCGTCCAAAGCATCATTATTTATTCCATTATCCTTATCTCATTAAACAGTTTGGACCACTCGTGAAAGTATGGTCTCTCCGATTTGAAAGTAAGCACAGCTACTTCAAACTTTGCATTAGAGCATCTGGCAACTTTATTAATGTTACGAAGTCACTTGCTCAGAAACACCAGCTCCTGCAGTCTTACTTGCAAAAGGAAGGCTTGTTTGGACCAGCTGCGGCGTTCAGTGACCTGACTCCTGCATCTGAAATAGCCAGTTTCGACAAAAACTTGTGGTGCTTTATTCAGAAAAACTTGCCCACTAGTCATGAAACCTTGATGACTGCTTCATCAGTGACACTATGTGGCACACATTACAAGCCAGGTTCTTACATAGTGCTTGGTGGGGACCAGTACAACCTGCAGTTCGGCCAGCTTCTGCATGTTGTGGTAGAGTCTGGCCATGAGGCAACTCCATTACTTCTTGTGAAAAAAGCAGCGTCTGCATTCCTCCCAAACTTCAGGCTCTACAAGTTGATGGAATTGGAAGTGGAAGAGCTACAGTTGTTGTCTTCCTCTCAGCTGATGGACATATATGCATATGTCCCGTACAGACTCCTCAACTGTCTTGTGATCAGGCTGCGGAGTTCACTATTGTTCGACGATTTTGAAGGTATGATACCAGTGATTTGTTTGGAAATTACCTTAAATTTAAAAACGGGGGACACCCTGCAACTCACTTTTTCAGTATAGCACAGACAATTGGAAAATGTAGGCCAAACAAAAAACCTCTAGGCAGGCTTTTCTAGTTTTTTTAAATATATTATGTCATTCGTTGCAAGTTTTTACTAAGGTGCCTTCATGTGCGCTTCGCATAGGGTGATGCCAACTGCCTGTTTTCCTTTCTCACACCCTCGTCCACCGCCATTTTGTTCCTAATTGTTTCCCCGTGCGCCGAAAAGTGGCCTTTGTGTCCATCGGTCCTCCCATCCGAGGGGGGAAATGCTAATCCTCCCTCCGTGGGTTCCACAACGCTGCTCCGAACTTGTGAGATAAGGTGCTTGTTTCCGGGAGGGTTATAAGCCCACGGATTATCGCCAAGGACCAAAATGGCTGCTGGTTTGTCGGTGAGTGGTATTACAAAGGGTGGCATCACCCTAGCAAAGCGCACATGAAGGCTCCCTAGTTTTTACACCCGCAATGTCTAATAACTTTAATTTGCAGTAGTGGGGAGTAGCGTAAATAGGTTTCCATTTGGAAAAGTCGTGAAATTATCAGGGAATATCGTCAAAACGTTGGCCCCACCAGGGAAAATGATCAGTAAAAGTGGAATGGCAATGCGGAACAAAGCTAGATGGTTGCGCATGAGCACAGCCATGTCGAGTAATGTTTCTGAAATATGATCCTTTGACCCGCAAATGCTCACGGGATTTTATCAAAATAGTCAAGGGAAAAACTGGGAAAAGTCGGGGAATTTAAGATCACTAATTTTGTAGGCACCCTGTTAAATTGTAGCAATGCTTTACCAGCTAACTTGCACCCTTATTTTTTTTTTCTAAATTACAATTGTTTTGTAGCATATAACATAAACTTTGCATTTGTACGTTCACTGTTTTTCAGATGATAGTCAAGATCTGGAGCCTTGATAAAACAATAAAGAAACTGGCAGTGGTTGCCACTTTCGACGCCATAAAGAAAAAGGCCATAGAGTTCGGTATATGCTGCTATGGAGACATCAAGGTTTGTAAAATAATTTCAGCAGTTGAAATTATGTACTTAGCCATTCTTATTCTCAAAATAACATACCCTGTTTCCAGGTACACGTGCTGGATGGAACGGAGGTGGACGAAGAAGCTTTCAATTGTTTGAATCAGTCATCTGAGGATGCTACTTACACCTTCATTGCAACAACAGATTCTTGGGTGTCAAGCAAGTCCAAGCTTGAATTTACTTCAGGAATGGGGGAGTAGTAATTTTTCAGTTAAAAGCAAATGTGAAGCAAATTATAACGTAATATGAGAAATGAAAAATAACTTCGAAACACCTAATTTCATAGAACGGAAAAAAAGAACTTATTTAATTTATAAAGGTTAACTAGCAAAGTTTCTGCCAATTAGTCTTTATTTATTATGCAGGCAATTAGCAACAGACGTGCAGCATAGAGTTTTTGCTTCAAACGTAGCACTTCGATGGCATAGTTAGAAGTTTCAAAGACTGTAACCACAAACTACAAAGAAATGCACTTGGATTATTTTGCTTGGAATTTTAGTTACTCAATATAATAACAATATTTATTAATATTCTAGAATATGTCAACTGTGCAGAAAAGTGAGCTGGTATTCTCTTTCGAGAAATTGGAAAACCTATAGGTACTGTGCTCATCGTGTTTTGTAAGCGAACACATGAAAGACATAAAAAGTTAGCTTATTGGTCTTCTCTGACAGAACTCAGATGCACAAGAAGAGAACAAAACAAGCAATGACACTGGCACCAGTGGTTGTATTTACCGGAATGAATAGCCAACACTCTTAAAGGCTGACGAATGCAAAACGATTAGGAAGCTGTCCCTCGCTTTCCTCGTTTGCACCCCAAAGAGGAAGAGACTGCCTCCTCTCTGTGGGGGCTAGTTTGGCTTCCACTTCATGAAGTGGAAGCCTCAAGAAAGTTTCTATTGGACGAGGCATTGAAGTCGACATGTGAACAAGACGTTTGCCTTCAAACAAAGGCCATGGCTGAGTGCTACCCCCACATCAGGACGTTCATAAATTCGTCAGAGCCTCCATATTCAGCATTGGATGTCAAACGAGCGTGGCCACTTCTGTTTGTGAGGGAGCACCTCCTTGATCACTTCCATAGGTATAATTTTCATAAATATTTGTCCATGAGTTTACTCAGGTTTAGAGTTATTTACAGGGTGTCGAAAAATGCAAAGCTATAGTTATAGAATTGACGGCAATGGGAGCTGCAAATTTGACAAACAAGTGTTCCTTTTATTATTAACCATTATAATGCTCGGGCTTGGTGGCCACTATTTTAGTTGCATATGGACTAAGGCAGCGTGAGTAAGCAATTAGAATGTGGGGAATATCATTAACTATAAATGTAACTATGGCTTCAATGTTCTGGTAGAGCAGTCACAATAGCATGTGGTAGAGGGCAAGAAACATTTCAGCACTGCAGCATGGAGGCACACATAACTGAGCGAATATAAAAAGAAGGCAAATTGGAAAGTTGCAGCAGTTTCAAAGTTTTTCCTGGCATGTGTGCTTGAAAATCTTTTTGCACAAATATACCTTTTTAAAAAGGCAGAATATGTTCAGTTCTTTGCAAGAGTCACTCACTCCTAAAACAAACATACACTATTATGCTCATAAAAAGGTGCTTTAAATGACGAATACGATTGCTACTTTCACCATACAGTGGTCCTTGCAGATTTCTTTCCTTCAATATTTTGCTTTTCGCAAAAAGGTATTTTGATTACAAAGATTTTGGATATGACGAGTCAGTGATAACATGAATTTTTTAAGGCTTACAGGTGTCTGTCTGGACGGAAAATTGAGCCTGCCCAAAGATGTCCTCCTCCTCGTGACATTCCTACGTTCAAGCCCCAAAAATGATGCTGTGCTCGAGTGGAGCCTCAAAATCAACAAGGCCGAGGCAGAGTTCAAAGATCAAAACGCAGCAGCTGTCTGCCTCCTCCCATTGCTTGCATCCTACTTTCAAGAAAACCTCGGAGAGCTCTTCCAGTTACATCAGGTAGGAGCATTCATAATAACCAGGCTATTTGTTTCCAAAGACACATCCTCATGACCTTGTTGAAAATAACTTCCTGGAAGTCTCACACAGGCAGTCAGCATTCCGCTGAGAAACTATGCATCTGGAAATACTAAACTTTTCTTCATTTTTTGAAATTTTCAGCTATATCAGTCTTCCTGTATGCCGTAACATACCGGTCATGCACCTATGTCCGAATAGGCGCCTACCTAGTGATTTTTAACCATTGGAGCAATGCCTTGTACTCTTTCTGCAGTTTCGCTTTCTGAGCGACCATCCCCCCACTTTTTCAGAATTGTCTGCAACATCTTTGTGAACGCTTTCTTGGTATCTGACGACAATGCTGATAATGAGCACGTAAAAAGTGAAATTACTATTGCTCTACGAGGAGCCAAACCTTCCTTAATCTTTTCCTGGCTGAGGTGGCTCAACTTATTATACTTCACATTAGAGTGCAATGGGAAGATATGCAACTCTAGGCTGGGTCATCTTATAGTATGTTCTACATAAATATTTCACTAAACCAAAGGGGGAGCGGCGGTGGGCACCCACTCTTGTACCACTTGCTTCTAATGGGTTCACATGATGTTTTGCATTTTTGGGATCGAGTGTTAGAGTTAACACAAAAATTATGCTAGAGAATTAACTAGTGACAAACGTTTGTACTTCCACTTCGACTCCTAAGTTAGGATCATTTGTTTTTAATATTAGCAACTTCCTTGTCCCGCAGGTGTAACAATGAGGCTTTGTGACAGATATCAGCAGATACATTGCTGCTTATTTAACATTGTTTTTTAGTTGTTATTGAGCGTTAAGACAACAAATGTTTGTAGTTAAAAATGTCCTTATTAGTGAGAAAATAACAGGAACCGCATCCTTTCCTGTAGGTGGGATGAAGGGTTAAAGGAAATAAGGGTGAGATGAAAATAAGGTGGGTGAGACGAACCTCTTTCACATAAGTGAGGGGTGAATGGAGAATAGCCTTTTGGTATTCCCGAATACCCGTGGGATTAACAGACTCTTTCAAGGTTTGGGGTTCTTGCATGTGTGGGCAGTACCAGGAGTGCGATTCTGAGACTTTGACCTCGCAGTGTGTGCATAGGCTCTTGTCTTTATCCTGTGTATGGCGGCTTATGCACCATGTTCTTGTGGGTGTTACATTTTGCTGTTTCCTTGGAAACCATAGTGGTGTGGGTCCGTTGTCTTTTCAGGCGCACCTCTTCCCACCTGGTATAATTACCATCTGGGAGTGGGTCTAAGTCTTCTTTGAGTAGAGCCGTGAGGTGTTTTCAGTGGGCCTGTTGTTTGGCTTCCTGGGAGAATGGGGGATCCTTTGTGTCTTTTTCAATGAAGGTGGCGCTGTTGTCACCAAGGATAGTAAGGATAAGGGAAGACAGGAACTCGCATGCGGCGGCAGACACTGTTTTATTTACTTGGGAATGGTTTGGTGTACCAGGAAGCAGTGGATTTAAAGTTGTCGGCCTTCCTGCCAGAGTCCTTTGAATGTGCCTTGCACTCGTCGTGTGTTATCTTGGAGCTTGCACCTCAGTTGTTTACGGAGCTTCTGGGTGTATTTTTTATCTTCACTGTGGTTGCATTGAAATTGGCTTGGAGTTTTCAGTCCTTATTTCTCCTGTAACATTGTTGGGCTTGCAGTCTGATAGCACACAAGTTGAGGAGATGAAGGTCGGGGTCTGGGTCGTCTTGTTTAACTTGGTACTTCTGAGTGGATGTGGCTTTCATTATTCGCTCACCTAGCCACTTTTTCAGGTGCTAGGTTAATGAAGCTGATCTGTCATTTAGTGTTGGGGTGTCTTTCTGTCATTAATTCTATTTCGACGGGTAGGTGCTTGCTTCCCAAGGCCTAGGAGCAGTTCGCACTCGGGCTTGGATGTTGTGTATGGCCCATGTCAAGTCTTGTGGGGTCATTCTCAGTGCGACGTTTGCCAATGCGAATGGCAGTCTGTTTTTCTTTGAGAATTCATAGATTGGCCTGCTTGGCGGGTGTGAAGACATTGCACTCTCTGTCATTGTCTCGCTTGTATCCCCATATTCGTGCATCTGCGGTAAAGTCGCCGGCCACGATAAGTTCTTCGGGCATCATTCTTTGCGATCCGCCTTACGTCGTCTTGCTTGTGTCCCACAGTTCTACATTCTGTGGGAATAAATATAGACCCATAGATGTATGGTACCTTCACTAGCATTTCGTGCATTTCTCAATTAACCACACATGTTTTCTGACTTTTCTTAGGTGACAACAGAAATCACAGAGGAGTTTCGTAACAGTCTGCCTGCTTCTCCTGTAATTGTTGCACTGGGTGAGCTTCATGTGTCTTTTCCTTGCATGCTTTGTATTTTTGAAGGTGCTTTCTTTTTTAATTTGTGTTGAATTTTGGAACAACAACCTAGACCTTTTTATCGTGGGTAGTGCCATTTTGAGAGTGAGAGAGAGAAGAGGGGTCAGTGCAGATGACTCCTAGTGACTCAATTGTAGTGGAATACTGTAGTGGTGTAACCAGAGTGCTGGAATACTGCAGTGGTGTAACCAAAGGGTGGTGTGCCGATTTTGACCAGAGCTAGATAGACAACCACATTGTTTGGTTTCGGCAGCCTTATCAAGCACCAATGTAAAGCACATGTCCTGGTATTATACCATACTTCGACAATCAATGTTTGATTAATCCAGCAAGAAAAAGAAGTTTTTATTTTGGTTTGTGAGTGCAGGTGCCACAAAACGGCATACAGCCCAAACAGCAGGTGCCTGTGAGGCATTTGATTGTTTGGGCCTGCATTCTGTGTCTTGTCCAACCCGAACAGCCAAATTTTCTGCTCGTAGAATGTGTGGTCGCATGCGGTCTCCGGTCATTTAATTTCTAGCTAAAGCAATTTAAACGAAACCGACGACTGGCATTGCACGTTGGCATCAGACTTCCATGCTACTGATTCTGTTCACAAACTCAACAAAAAGTGTTTGATTCTACATGCTCATATACAAATTTTTTGTTTTGTTCAAGCCTTCAGGAGCACTTTGCATAACTTAATGTCATTACTGGGTATGGTAGCTCAACACTATTTAGTGTGACCCTTATTTGGCTTGGCATATAAGATGTGCCTTATCTGTGATTGTGATGCATCTCAGTCTCAGATCTCAGATATGCGTCACAATCCTATATCAGTGTGCCTACCTATTCAGTGTCCCTGCTGGTAATACCTCTGCAGAAGTTTCCAGATGTGAATATGACAATGGTATTTTTTTCTTCATTTAATGCGAGAGCGTTAAAAGCCCTATTAAAGAAAAAGCCGGCGTAGTCGTGTCGGTCGCATGACTTTTCTGGTCACTTGACTAGATAGGTCGATACATCTGATACTAACACATTTTCTCCGCATTAATTACATTAATCGCTTGTTTCTTTCCTAGGCCGCTCACTTTTCGAATGCAGCTGCCAGCTGTTTGTGGACCATGAGGTGATGGTGGAGGATGTGGGCTTTCTCCAAGCTGTGGAGCTCCTTTTCGCCCTTTATTATTGTTTAAACATCCAGTATGCCAAAGGTGCGGGAACCACACTTGAGTTCATTCAGAGGTATGGTTTATTTCCTTCATAATTTTGAGCCTCATGAGAGGCAATAAAGAGCAACTCTGCTGAATTTTGGCTGAGAAAACGATTAGTTCTCTTTATAATCATCTAGGAAGGCTACAACTGAAATCTTTCTGTATATAAAATTGGACCCTCAAAGTTTGACAAGCGCTAATCTGCTAATTTTAGCGAGCAATGTGCAGGCTAGCCAACTTTGGCACTTCCTCAGATGTGACGTCATGTTGATGTCTGTTGTATACACCGGCTTTTTTCTCTTTCAACGCCATCACATGTCCAGTCAGTTCAGACAACACTGCCTAGAGTTGACCCAGTGAGTGGGGTAAATCACGTAATCATGCATCTGCCATGGACATGAGTGTGCATGCAACTGACGTCGCTGCTTGCCCTTTGCCGAAGTTTCGGTTTCAATTTGCAACTTGAGTTATAAATAACAAAGTTGCACAAACAATATTCTACTTTTCGTGAAACAATGTAGAGTTGTTCATGAGTGCTTTTCAAAGTAAGGTCATCCACTATCTTGAAATTTTCTAAATTGAGTAGAGTTGCCCTTTAATTTGTCACTGGCTACCCACATTTCCAAGCTCAATTTCAGAGTCCATTATTAAACCGCAATAGGGTGTTGTATTCTTGGACCACAGAATGAATAAAACGTGCTCGGGACGAAGGAGACGACAAACATTTCTTTCAACTAAGAACAACAGGAATGAACTTAAGAGCACTCCGTGCAATTCAGACTGCCAAGAAAATGGAGAGAAATGGAGGCAGGAAGATAAAAAGGAAAGTGTAAAGTTAGAATTGTAACTCATGGTGTTACTTCACTCTTTTTCTTATTTCCTTCCTTACAATTTTTGACACTTACCTTTCTCTCTTTCTGCCTCCCTTTCTCTCAATTTCCTTGGCGGTCTGAATTGAAGGAAGTGCTTTTAAGCTCATTCATGTTGTTAATTAAAAGAAATGTTTCTCGTCCTTCGTCCGGATATGTTTTGTTCTTTCTGTGGTCTGTGAATTTTACCAACACACTCTTCAGTTACTTTAAAGGTTGTTATATCTTGCATAATAATTCGATTTAAAAATTTCACCTAATGTTACAATGTGACTATGTTTGATCCTATCCCAGAAATCACAAATAAATATGTCCATATATCTACTATTCCTATTGTTTTATCTTTACTGAATGTGTCATTTACTTATAATTATATTAGGCATTCAGTTAGAAGGCAGAGTCACAAGCAGTATACATCATTAAATTATTTTTGGCTGGAAACAAATTGGAGCTTCAAAATATGTTTAATATACTCAGCTAATTATTTATTTAAGAGTTTCTTTACTGCACCACACTATTCTGTATCACTCTAAAAGTGTCTAGAAGTGATATGTGCAGATGATCTCTAATTCATAACTAAATTTGACTGATATACAACCTTTTCACAACTTTTTGAAGCTTTATTTCTGCATGTTTTAGTAGCATGTGGTTCATGTTTGATTTTGTACCTGAATACCTTTTTCTCGTCTTTATACATGTTTATCAATCGTATGTTCTTTCGACAGTGGCTGGCCAAAATGTGGCTTCCTAAAAAAAGAGAATGATTCTCTTACAACATTCTTTTTGCCATGTCTGGTGCTTTTAAGCAATCATTAACAGCTAGTTGAGTATTTTAGGTCATTCAACTGTCTGCAATACTAATTATGCAAATGACTGCTTGCTTAATTACGAGTAGAAATGCAGAGGAGGAATTGCTTTGTGACTGTGTAGGACAACAGACAAATTTTATTGCTGTATTGTAATAAAAGAAATAAGCACGAAGCAGGGATGGGCAAAATACATGCAAATACGTATCGAAATACAAATACAAAATGCTTAGTCAAAAATGTATTTAATTACAAATCTAATTACTTTTGCAAAAAAGTATTTAAGTACAAGATACAAATACAGACAGAAAAGTAGTTGGTCTCTTCCAAATACTTTTCCAAATACAGTCCTTAAAATTTGTGTCAGCGACTTCAGGGCACCTGCAACAGGTTTCTGGGTATCTCATTTTAATTTTGCATCGCACACTCGGGAGTTAGTGCTCGAGGCTCTAGTAACGTAATACAAATATAATCACAAAAAACAGATGTAATCAGCTTGGACGTAATAGGTGAAAAAAGTACAGAGCTTCAAGCAGTTTTTTTTTTTGTTGTTGTTGATTACATTTTGGTATAGACAATCAAAGAACCGAGACGACCAAGACGCGCAGCACTAGCTACAGATTTTTTTATTGTTGCAACTCGGACCAGTTACAAACATCTGGATGACCCGCGCATTTAGAATGTTCGAGGCAAAGGTATGGATGGAAATCAGGCTGGAAAGCATCACAAGTTGTCACCGTCACTTATTTAGCCAGTCTGCCTGTGAACGTCGATTTCGTCACTATTCTTTCCCTGGACTAGCACCGTAATTACAAAGTCACTAAACGCTTGTGCTTGATTGAGAGACACTGCATTCGGTGCAGAACGTAGTTTTCTTCCTGCTCTGGACAGTGACAATAAATTTGTGGGATGTATTTTCGCCCACAAAATTGTATTTAATTACAATTGTATTTGAAATACCCACGTTTTAGTATTTAAATACACACGTCAAATACATTACAGAATTTTTAATTAAATACAAATGCAGAATACACAAAGTATTTGAAATACGTAGTTCAAATACTTGTATTTGAAATACTGCCCATCCCTGGCGCGAAGTATGTACTTGTTCTTCTGATTATGTCGCTGCTATAAAATTTACTTTTGTTTGCTTCCAAAGCTTCTCCCAAATGACTCAAATCAATTACATCGCTGTCTGTTCAATATCTTTTTAAATCAACATGTTTTTAATGTTTTGTAGTTCTAAAAGTTACATTATATGAATCCTACCCCTTAAGATGTGCCACATGGGGCTTATAACTTCTGAAATATTCCGAGTTCTGTATCCCATCGCATCTGAGTGAGGGAAGCCTTGAGTGCCAGATTTTCTCCTCTTGCAGAAAAATGACACCTTATTACAATATTTTTTTTGTTGTTCCCTCATTGTTTTATTTTCCTCAAAATCTAGGCATGAATTTGTACCTTGACATATTTTCTTTAAGTGCACAGTCTGCTGGCCTAAATGTAGGTTTTGCTCAGCTTGTTATGGCTTAATTGTTATTTTAGGAACCTTCAACACACTTATACTTTTGAACTGTGCACCTATGTAACTTTGGTGGCAAAGCTTGGGGCTTTCGACATTAGTTGTGCATGTAAAATATCAGGAAGTACTGATCCCAAATCCTTCACTGCAATTTTTTTTTCACTTGTCTGGTTTCTGACCAAATACTTATGGGCCAATCTGCTATTTGTTTCAGATACCAAGTTGGTATCAAAGAACATGACGGGTCACGACAGGAGGCCGGGAGGTCGAAAGGAGCTCGGGCAAGAGCAATCAAAGCCGTCACAGATCTTGCTGCTTTTGAGAAAAAATGGAACAGTGTGAGTACATATTTGATTTGGCATGTGTACGATGTGGTATCAAAAGGTTTCCAGTCTTGTTTTGTATTAAAAAGAAAAGCAAATAGCGGCACAACACTGCATTCACAGGGGTCGAGGGCAGCAACCTTGATCTGTCATGGTGCTGAGTGGCTCAATGTGGCAATGCACAGGCGTGTTGGTGTATGATTACAACTGGTAGCAGCATACAAAAAAACACACGGACAAAGGGACGAATGCACAGGACTTCGGTGTTTCCTTTTCATTAAACATTTAGTTGAAGTTCAGCGCTCGCCTTGTGCATTTCTTCCCTTTGTCCTTGTTTTTTTGCGCGCTGCTACCAGAGGCTTAGAGCATCGCTCTGTGAGCTTGGGAGCCCCGCTGTACAGGTTTTTGTGACTTCATGTGCGTGCGCCTCTGCAATTTGTGCAAGTGGTTGTGGTCCTCCCGTAGCCTTTTCAATCATCTGAATATGAATTTGTTTTATTTTCAGCTCATCTGATGATCGATCGGATGCCATGAAGGTTTCTTTATAATTATGTTCTTTTACGGTTTACAATATAGTTCTTCAATTTCAAAACTGCCTCCGTTTTGTCGTGTCCCTTTTTTCAGACACACTACACTTGTTTATAAGGATTTGTCGTTATATTACGGAACTGTACTGCGCTAACTCATGATGCCAGACGTTATCTGTAACCCTCCGTAATACTACCAGGGCCGTAGCTGAGAGTTCACATTATTGTTACCGTACAGCGAGCACACAGCGATAGAAGTGCAGTACGCAAGTACGGGATTAAAGCTGCAAACTAAACTTGAGGTATGCAAGCCGCCAAGCGTTCCGACGGTATTGAAGGCGTAAGGGAAGGGTACGGTAACTGAACTGTTACCGTTACAATACGGCAATGGAAGTGCAGTATGAAAATACGGGACTGAAACCGTACCCTTCCCTTACGCCTTCAATACCGTCTGAACACTCGACGGCTTGGATACCTCGAGCTAAGTTTGCGGCTTTAGTCCTGTACTTGCGTACTGCGCTTCTATTGCTGTATGTCTGCTGTACAGAAATGATAATGTAAACTGTCAGCTACGGCTTTGGTGGTATTACGGAGGGTTACAGATAACGTCTGGCATCATGAGTTAGCGCAGTACGGTTCTGTAATATAACGGCACTTTTTTTAACAGTGTACCATAATAAATGCACCAACGCGACTTCCAAAATAAAGAAAGAGCACTACGTTCACAACATAAAAAATGGTCTCAGTACATGCGTCTGTGGGCAGGCAGGAAACCTTGCCCTAATTTATTCACGCCGCATGATTGGCGCAACAAACTCGTTGCACGACCCAATCATCCACTCGAGCGGTGTGCGTCGCTATGCAAACGCAGTCCAACACGAAGCATAAAAAACGGCAGATTTAAGACAACAATCCGGAGTCCATTATTCAATTAAAACAACGTGATTTTGTTGAAAACGCCCGCTGCTTCTTACTCACGGTATGTGTCGGGAAACTTCCACAGTTTGAAACGGAACGAAGGAAGATTTACTTTTAAAAACGCTCGCTGCGTCCTCCCGGACCAGCTGGACCGGATCAGCTGACGACGACGGGACTGTACCCGTTGAACCTCCACCACGCAACAAACGATTTGCGCTCCGTGTTAAAAGCGTGGTTCAAACAGACCCGGAATACAAAGCACCGCACCACACACGACGAATGTTTCGGCTCTTTTTCGCATCGCCGGGTTGCACCAAACAGAACGAGATCGCCGAAGTCAACGCCGCGCTGTCGTGAACCTTGGCTTGTGGTTGCAAACTCGTGGACCCTGTGACTCCCTTCTCTTTCAAAGCACACACGACGATTACGAATGCTACTTTCCGTCTTCCAGGAACATCACAGGGGCACTTCTCCGGTCACGTCTTCATTATATGCTCGCAAGCTCCGAAGCTCTCTGCGAAGCTTCTCGCGTCCCGTCAAACCAAAACAGTAGCGGCGCCATGCGTACTTGCCAGATTTTCTCCGATCAAACAAAAACAACGAAAGCCAGCCGGCGCTTGCTCCCAGCGTACATCGGCGTTGCGCTTGCGCCGTGGCCAGATCGCTTGCAGTTGAAGGTTGAAGCAAAAACGAAACCAACTGCAATGTCACGTGTTCACATCGACGACACGCTTTTTATATCCATTTTTACTGTTTGGAACGAATAATTAGACCCATGACTTTATTTGTGGTGTCTAAGAAACTTTTATCAGGACACCTAAACTAAACACAAACATGGGCGACATGAGGGAAGCCGCATTGCCATCGACCAGAAGATGGCGGCGAGCACGGTGAGCGTGGGTTTCGCCAACGTCCTGCGACATGGCGCAATTGCTTTTGGTGCATATCTGTCTCCGAGACATGTTTCTTTCCGCGGCATTTGCCCCGACGGTCCTTTCTAAGTGTGTCCCCAAGCATTCCGGTGCTTCGATAGACGGCAATGCCGCGGTCGTCGCCGGGGGCGATGCGTGTTATCGAGGTCGGCTACACGGTTATGCGTGTATGACCGAACCAAAACACGTTTTTTACAACCTCGCATGATTTCTGAACGAATTATCCGTTACTCATCGTGTAAATTTATGGTAATTTGTGTAAATAACGTGTTTTTCACCCCAAATATTCGCCAAATACACGGGACTTGCTAACAGTGTACTGAGTTTTCGCTGGAGGTCGCCATCTTTTCAACATCTGTTTATTCGTAAAGAATGTGTAAACACTGTGACCTTTACGAAATCCGTCTTTTTTTAAGAAACCTTGGGGTATATACACTCCTTCATGGTGCGGAACTTCTCAGTTGTCTGAAAATGAACTGACGTATAAACGCAGTACGCATGTCGCACTCTCGTTGAATTCGAGGGTGGGGAAGGTAAAACAATAGACTATGAGGGGAATAAACCCCACGTTCGAGCAATAATAACACACGTCACTACAGGCATCTTGGGGTGTGCTTACGAGTACCGCGCAAAATGTAATAAGAAGAAAAATAACAGTGGTGTGTGGGATTGGCGCTGCTAAATATTGTCTTACGTCCGCATGCCTGTTGGTCTTTAAAAAAGAAGTCAATACATTTTTTTGACCGTACGTTATTTAGCAGCATTGCCTTTTTTTAGTGCACAAAGCTCCTTTGCTAACTATATTCCATAAATTACAGTATTATAAAACTGCTGTGTATTAGAAGTGAATTAAATATTGTAAACAAACAAAGAAAAAGATTTATTAAAAATTCAATGTTAATTCGTGGTTTTTTTTGTTTTTTCTTTCATACCGCCTGATTCGAAAAATAAATGAGCGGTAGTGTACTCGTGTCGTGGTCCATATATACGTTTCAGCTTATGTCCGTACTCAACCGACGCTACGAGCTAATGGGGCCAAACAGAGTGCGTCAAAACGCACCATCAAAGTATTCGTCATGTTTCTGGAAGTGTTCGATCATCGCTGAACCCGTCATAAAATGAAAAGGCCCAGTGACTTGCGATTTTGACGATGTCTGATTGGACCTATTAGCTCGTAGCTTCAGCTGCATCTCAAATAAGTCTAAACGAAATATAGCGTGCTGAAAAATAACCTCAGCTACGCATACCACCTGCGAGCCAAGGCAAACAGATGCGTATTTTTTTGTATTTTCGTGGCGATTTCCGGTCTCTTGATTTAATGCGTGATGCGTAATAAACGTTGAGTAGGGCACTGTGACTTTCCGAAGTAGAAGTTACTTAAATTGTGCATGTTCGCTAGAGTTAAGAAAATTCTATAAGCACGAATGTTTTTTGTTCTTCTTTTTTTATGCACACCAAGATAAACGCTAATGTCTTGAGACATTGAAAATTGCTCCTTAAAAACACCGAATCTTTCTCAAAAAGTCGGTGCTCCAAAACACGCTGTGAAGCTGGTTGGACAGCGAAGCTGTGGTATGACCTGCAACGATTGCCCACTTCACTAAATACAATTTTTATGGCAATCGCCACCAGTAGGTGCTCCAGTTTTAGTGTCCCAGAGAGCTTCCGGTTTATCAAAATAATAAACAAAGTCCACCTAGCTTAGAATGTGGATGAAACGCTCAACCACCGATTTTACAGGTGAATGCCGAATGAATGAATGAATGAGTGCGAGATCTGTTAGAATGTTTCAAGTATTCTTGTAAACTAACTTGCCTCCTCTAAGATGTAATATTGTACAACTGAAGGCCGTCGCTAAATCTCCAACTGTGTTTTCCGGGTAGCATTTATGCTTTTTAGCGCTGGTGACATAGGTAACCTCAACAAGCTTGCAAAGACGGTGCCACCGGAAGTCTCTTCGGACGCAAGTGGCAGTTTATGTTTGTAAACAGCAAAAAGGTGCATACCGAATGATTGACGAAAAAAAAGTAAATTCACTTTTCCAACACTTTTATAAACATATGAAAGATTTCGTCAGCTGCTGTTGCCGCGGCAGCTTATGCAACTGCAACCTTTAGCGAGAAATGGATGCGGGGAGCGCTACGTGCTTCGCATTGTTAGCTGGGCTAGTGACGTCACTACCCACTTTATACTCTGCCGTTGCCACGGCAGCTTATGCAACCGCAGAGGGACTGGCAAAAGAGGGCGGAGTGGACGGACGTGCCTCTCATGTGCTGAGTGTTTCTCATACTCTAGACCCGGAATCAGGGAACGCATGCTCAAGCCGATTGCACCATTCGATTCAGCTTTTCAAGCGGACAAAGAGCATATTCACATCAAGAACGTGAGTAAATAGTTCCTCGCGCTAGAGGAGTTCTTCTGCCGACCGCGCCGAGGCCGATAGCCAAGCCTAACGCAGCGAAGGAGCGCAACAGGTGCGAGCGGTCGTCGCGCCGGTCGCCATGTCAACCGCGGCGCATCTGTGCAGGCAGCGGAGGCTCCGCGGCAGGTGGGGAGCGCCTTACCATGCGCACAGGAAATCACGAGAACAATGGCTAAAGTCTTCACGCAAGAAGCCGTGCAAGAGGTGGACATGACGGCACACGGAGAAGCGCTGTGCGCGAACGAAGAATTGTGGAACGCAGTAAAACGAAACAGAAGAATGGAATCATGTACCGTACCGGCGCAGAGAGCAGACGATGCGAAAAAAAGAAGAGGACAAGACACCGAAAACGAGATAAAAACAAAGGTAGCCGGAGCATATCAGAAGCTTACAAGGGAGGTATACTATGTACGTTCAGGAAAAAAAAGTAACACCCAGTTTATTTATCTTGAACCTATACAGGCATCCTAGCAGTAGAAAGAGTGTATTCCACAAACTATTCAAAAAGGTGGTAAAGCGCTCGGATAGACGGTAGTTTATAATAGGGGACTTCAATGCCCCCCACCCCACATGGGGATACAGGCAATTTTTAATCAAGGGCACAAAATCATACGAAGCGGTAAACAAGATCAGCTACCCACGACAATCAGCTGCCCGGAATACCGACGTCCTACAAACAAGGAGCTCGACAAAGAGATAAAGGGGAACGAGGCCATCAGGGAAGCACAATAGCTCACAAGAAACACAGCCCCCGGAAAGGACAAAAATTCAAAATAAACTCCTCAGAAATTTTGATTTCTACTTATATCAGAAACTCACGGACTACATGAACCATGTATGGAGGAGTGGGGAGCTACCGAAGGTATGGAAG